CATAATAATAGAAGTTTTGGAATTTAAGTGAAAATCTTTTGAAAGTTAAGGGACTGTATCCGCAGAAGAAAGGTTGCATTTAGGGACCTAAATGAATGAATTTGAAGTTATAGCATCAAAATCCTCACTATATAGAAGATAAAGAATCAAGTGTGCAATTTTACTATTGAAGAAATTGCAAAAGATGCAAGAATCCGACTTGGGTTGGGTATCGATACCACTTGGCACTAGGTATCAACCCCATACGTTAAGACTTTGGAAGATAAGTATCGGGGGCTGGGCATCAGGTTGTTTTAGTTGTAACTGCAATCGACTTGGCAGTTAACTGTATAATTGGTTTTTAAAACATAACAACTATTTACAAAACTAAATTATTACGATTTTTTATGGTTTGATTATTTTTATTTTATAATTCTTGGTGCCGGTTTTTACCTGATGATTGATACTTTACATTTTTAACCTTATTTTTAAATTTCAATAGCAAAATTCTTGATTGAAATCAATAATAATCTTATGTTACAAACTTAAAGTTGAAATTTTATACCAATAACTATTAAGTTTTATAGCATAACTCATATTGCAACTTAAATAATCACAAATTAATCACAAACATAGAAGACAATCTCAAGATTACAATCTTGAATTCATGAGATCACAAACAAACAAGCTCAAACAATCACAATTCATGAAAATCATGGCAAACACACATAAAATACAAAGAGACAACTTAGGCAATCACTCAAAGGATAATAAACTACTAACAAGTAGAAACCTTTACCTTATAGCATAGGAGCCATATAACAAAACAGTAAGCTCCATTATGAACTCAATTTATAACATGGAGCTAGTAGTAAAAGGAGCTATAGAACAAAAGAGCAAGCTCCACTATGACCTTAGTTCATAACATACAACTAATAGTACAAAACAATAAGCTCCACTATGAACTCAATTTATAACATATAGCTAGCAGTAAAAGAAGCTATATAACAAAAGAGCAAGCTCTACCTTGACCTCAGTTCATAACATACAACTAATAGTAAAATATTGTTTCAAACTTGCAAGATTTAGCTAAGAAGTAACTTATAACTAAGAAGGTTTCCATCATCATCAAAAATTTGTTATGGTTTCCCCTTCATTTTCTATTTGTACTTGCCAAAAAAACTATCTAACAGTATACTTCTATCTAGTAGCACCAATAAGTTGATCTTAAACTACACAAAAGAGATCACATCTTCTACTTCTAAGCTCCTGTACTGTGCTCCAATAGTATTTGTCATTTAAAAAAAAACAAACGTTGGTTAGTAAATTTGTATAAAACATTGTGAACTATAAAGGAAAAAATAAACATGGAAATTAAAATATTTATTACATAATGAAACCAGAAAAAGGGAAAAAAAAATTTGCCTTAACCCTATGTACTAAATAACAGATGCATCAAACTTCAACTTCTCAAACTCTACAATTTGAAAAAATTGAAAAATTAAAATTTTATAAATTCATAAACTGAAAAGGTGAAAAAGTTGTAATATTATTTTACCCTTTTCAAGCTTTCTCAATTCATGCTCTTCCTCTATATTAGGAGCTTGTCTAGCCTTGGATTTGAACCAGTCTTGAGAACAAATGAGTGCTTGAACCATTCTAGGGATTGAAGAGCTTTTAAACTCATCTAAAACCCTACCCCTAGTTGAGAATGCAACTTCAAAGGCCACTGTAGAGAGTGGCATTGCCAAAACATCCCTAGTTATAGCAGCTATTATTGGGAATCCTAGACTATGCACTTTCCACCATGTAAGCACATCAAACTCCTTTTCAAAGGCCTCTATTTCTTCAGCCAAATATATTTCCAACTCTAACTTCTCTGCATTCCCTTCAACTCCTTCCAAATATTTGGCATACTCACTTATGAGATATGTTCCTTTTCTTACTTGGCTCAAATTCTTGTCTTGCGTTGTAACTTAGAATCTCCTTTGATTGTTGAGTAGAACATTGACCCCTAGTTGTAAAAAGGATAAACATAAAGAAGTTAGAACTCTTATAATATATTTAGAAATTAATAAAAATATAAAAAAATCATATTACCTCTTAGAATTTTTACTAGAATAGCGTATCCTCTTATAGGTCTTAAACAACTTAAAGCACTTAGTTCTCACCATTTCCCCATTCCTTTCGTTGTGAATTTCATCAAACATCCTTACCAATAGAAATTGAACAAACCCCAACTTATGCCTTGAGTCCAACACAACAACAATTAAAATATTTTTGTTTATCTTTAAGGGATCACCCCAATACTTGTCATATTTGAGCTTTATGTTCCTTGCCATGGAGCTCAAGTCAAGATCATCTAGCCATTCTTGAAGAATGCCATTCATTTCACAAATCTCTGGGAAATACAAGTTAGGAGTGGTGTATAAAGTTCCTAAAACTATTTTTATGATAAAGTAAAAGGGTTCCATTAACTTAATCAACCTTTTAATGTTTTCCCAATCAATGCATGATGGGAAGCCAGGAGCATTAGGGTGTGAATTGAATTCAGGTTCATAAATAATTCAACCAAGAGTATTAGGGCTTGAATTGAACCATCCTTGAATGCCTTTATAAAATAATAAATATAAAATAAGTAGAATAATCTAAAATTATAAAGGAAAAGTAGAAAATAATAATTAATTTGTTTAAAAACTGACCTCTCAAATGCTAGTTCATACTTCTCCACAATCTCTAAAATTAGGTACAAAGAATTCCACTTGGTTGGTGTCTCCATGTTCATTAGCTTGTTGCTATTAAGTTTCTCAATAATAGCAACTTCTTTGAACCTTAGAATCCTTTGGGGACTTTGCTTAATAAACTTAATAGCAACTTTAACTATATTGATGGAAGTGTTCATTGTTTTGGCCTCATCTTGCACAATCAAATTGATCATATGGGCTACACACCTCATATGTAGCTTAAACCCTCCTAAGATAATAGTCCCCCACTCATTTATGGCCTTTCTAACCACTCTCACAATGCTATCATTAGTAGAGGTAGTATCACTAGTCATGGCATTCACTCTATCAATTCCCCAATCCATCAAACATAATTTAATTAAATCACCCAAATCTTCTCCTTTATTAGAATTGACAGGACAAAAAGTAAGTATCTTCTTATGTAGCTTCTAATTCTTATTACTATAATGAGCAGTCAAGCTCATAAATGATACTCTTTGCTGTGAGGTCCAAGAATCAGTAGTGAAGGAGACCCTTTGCTTGGACTCTTTGAAGTAATTCTTAAGAACTACCTTTTCATCAACATATATATCGTAACAAAGCTTGGTCATGGTTCTTCTAAAAGGGAGCTTGAAATAAGGGGGCAAAGCTATTATAGTGAATTTTTTGAATCCTAATCTATATATTGCTAAAGGGATACTCATCAATGATTATCATTTCAACTACATCCCTTTTCATAGCATTATGATCAAATTTCCAAGTGGTAAGTTTAGTGACATCATGCCCTTCACCATCATCAACACTATAAAACCTACCCAAACCAAGCAGCTTTTGATTTTTCAAGCTTTTAGGATTCAATTTACAGATTATTATGTGATTTTTCATTGTTTCAGTCCCATTATTCCTTGAGTTAGCACATAGAACCTTTTTACAATGCATACACGTAGCTTTCCTTTATCATCCACAAACTTGGTAAAATGTTCCCATACTTTTGAACTTTGTTGTAAATCTTGTTTCTTAATTTCCTTCCCCTTCCTTTTTGTTACTTTCCCATCAATTTTGTCAATGTTCTTCTCATCTTCTTTGTCACTGGTTGCCTCTTTATCCTTTTGCTTATTAGTCCAAGTTGCATAAAAACAACTAGCATATCATCCACATCAGTTATGTGTAAATCCTCTTACATTATCGAAGAAAATATTAATAACATTACAATATAATGTAAGAACTTAAAGTATGGTGTAAATAGAAATTAACATTAAAAGCTTACGGTTATCATATATCAATATTATCAGTTAATAATTGTAGTAAATCATTAACATATGCAAGAGAAAATTAAAATCAACAAACTTACATTAATAATGTAAGCATCACACTAACCTTAATCAACACAAACAATTTTCAAAACCACAACTTCTAGTAAATAGTTTTCATAGAAACAAAGTAGCTAGCAACACAAAAATAGATATGATCTCTAAAAACATATTAACTCAAAACAGATCCAAGCTAAAAGCTTACATTTGAATTGATTGATTGATGCTCTTCACCATTAATCTCCATGTGAACACAATAAGATAATCACACTACACTTTAGATAAAAAATGAACTTAACACAAGCAAATATTATCATCAAAACAAATGGATTCATTTTAGGGTTAAGGTTTTCTAACAAACAATGAGGATTTAGTTAACAAATAAGGGATTGAAATTACAATAAAAATTTGAAAAATTCTTTTAGATTTTTTGAAATGAGAAGGGATTTATACCTTTGGTTTTGGGCAATTTGTTGATAAAAAAGGAATGGGTGATAGACATTTATGAAGAGAAAGGGACAATAGGTATCAAGTTTGGTGGCAACCACAAAGTGGGTCACCACCGGCCACAACCTTTGTTAACTAGATAGATACAAGAGAAAGGGAGAGTTGGAAGTTAAGAGAATAGAGAAAAAAGAAAGATGAAAATGGTTGCTTTGTTTAGGTTTAGGTTTACTTTCAGTTTTATACTAAGGATTTTTAGTTGCTAAATTATTAATTTGCCCTAAAAGTCTAACAAGAGGTGGCTAAAGCGATTTGGGCACAATTTGGGCAGTAGAATTAAGCGGGATAACATGAAATATGGTGAGATTGTGAGGAAATGGAAAAAAAATTACAAAAAAGTAAAAAAAAAAAAAGGGCCTCGGTTGTTTGGGTCTACTCATGCAGTTGTTGATTGTTAAGCCCAAGAGTCGACAACCGTTCGCTTGAGCCCTTGGTTACAACCACAACCAAGGCCCAACTCAACCGATCACAAAAAAGTCCAACTCACCAGTTGTGGTTGTGGTTGTGGGCAAGCACGGGCTTTTTTGATGTTGTAGGCCTAAGCGCCCAACCATTGGGTGAAATTAGAAGTAGAAGTATCGATACCTATGTTGTGGTGTTGATATTATAAGCAATGTTCAACTTTTTTCCGAATAGGTTTTTATAGTGTATAAATACTTATCTAAAACTAGATTTTGGAGAGTTTTTAGAGATTAAAAGAGAGAAGAACTTAATATTAAAAAAAGATCAAGAGAGATGATAAAAAGGAATTTAACATTAAAAGGAAATTAAAATTTAAGATTTTATATCGTTAAATTAGTTTTATTTGTGTTTGTATTTTATATCATAATGTCGAATACTCTTATACTTATTATGAAATATTTGATTTTTCCTTTTTATATTATGAACTAATTTAGTTATTTAAGGTTACAATGTAGCTCAATAAATTTAATATAGAATTTCATAATTTTTATACTAGACTTACTATTTCATGTCAACCATATATTATTATTTTTAATGTTTTTTAAAGATCAGCTACCATTAAAATTGATTTAAAAAGTATAATTAAGATTGACTGGAGATTTTATG